ATGGTGGGATTGCTGTGATACGTGTGTTTTAGGATAGTCTGAACAGTGTCAAAATGGTTGATATCAAAAACCAGTTCTGATGTGGAGTGGTTTAACCAGGCGTCAGTGTTTATTTATACCTCCAACCACTGATGCTCCGACATGAGCTGAGCTTAAAGATTATTTAAATGATAGACTGGATCTCAATGTGAAAGTGTATTGAGCAATTTAAGACAATGTGCATTTCGAATTGAAATAATTTGCGGCTTTATGTAGGCAAATGTGGTGCCTTGCCTTACGTCGGTTTAGCGATCAACATGATACCTATTACATGATTTGACGCATCGATTGAGAACATGGATAACCTGAAATCAGGCATCTTCTGCAAACGCCCTGCCAACTGCGTGTTGCGTGATACTGTTCAGAAGATTTAGGAATTCGTGGGAATGTGCGCCATACGAAAGGTCTGTTGCTACAAAACGTAGTGCACAGACGATGTCGAATTGATGATGTGGTCGCCGAAATCACCAAGACCTAGGAATTAGGGAAGATACACACATTTTCCAACCTGATTCAATATAAACCGAACGCATGTATGTGGAGGCAGCCGAATCGTTTCCTTTTGTATTTCAATGACACGCACAGCAGAAAGCATTGTCCATCTGGCTGTACGTGCAGTTCAATTCAACGTCTTCTGCAGAAATCAACAAATTCGTGTGGAATAGAGATCAAAATGCAGAAACGCCAGTTATAGAGAGATCACGTTGGGGTGACCAGTTGAAGAAGGCCCGGTATGTGGTCTTGTACCCCGCCTTCACCGCCCAGTTGATTTAGCCTGCTAGCGATACTCGAATAACCACGATGGCAACAAGGAGAAGGCCACCAAAGGCGGCAGACAAAACTCTTCACTCGATGGCCCAACCCAGATTTGGCTGGTCGCACCACTGTGCATGCAGAATTAGTGTGTGACTTGTTGGGATTTCCGATGAACACAATCTGTGTGAAGCGCCAAATTGACAAATGGCTAAATGGTCAGATGAGTGAACCTGGTAGCGTGAGGGAGGTGCATACACGGACGTGTGTGTGCAGATAGGTTAGTCAAAGCAATAGAGGGGCTTCGACAAAGAGGTCAGTGTGGGGATGGAAGCATGAACTGGATTTATGGACTGTTGGGTTTCCACGATACCCCAAGATTGCACGATAGGCACACCGCCTGCGAATGCTGTACATGCACTCATGTTGAGATGTGTCCTGTCAAATAGAAGCTGTATAGACCTGACGTCGGCTAAGATCAGTTTATCAAAAGTCTTAAGTCGGTAAAGCGTGATTTACAGTTTCGGTAATTACTGTTGTGAACGGAAGCATTGACTTGGGGTATCAATGCACATTGATGTCTGGCTAGACCACTCCCAGATCAGAGATGGTTTTCTTATATCAACAAATTCGACACTGTTTAGACTATCATTGCACGGCCTACGCAATCGTGGCTCACCAACTTCAACGGCCAGCCGGATCACACAACTCGAATGCTGCATGTGCGTTCAGTGAAATCAACGTGCTTAGTTGGAACAGGGCACAACGGAGCCTGTGGAGAATTGCGGAATGATTGGCTGTCGATTCCGCACATTACGAACACGATCAATGTAATTTCGTTCTGGGATATGCGGTCCTCATCCAGTGATTCTTGGTGGTGTCAGCTTGTGCTGGATAGCTGTGTTGAATTTCCACGAATTACCACATGACAACGGTGTCGATTGAAGTAACTCAGCCTAGTACGACATGCTGAGTCGTACTCTTGACCAGTGCCTACCACGTCAAATGCTTTCGAGTACTTGTGTGAACCTGCTGGGACGTCGTTTGTTAAGATGCTAACATATAAGTTGCATGCATGTACTTGAACGTCTATCCATTGAACAGTAGCTGTGGCAACTTTCGGCAGTCCCGTCTTCAATCCTACTTAGCAGTTCAGAGCTCACTGTTTGACTGGAGCAACTAACGCGAACTGAGGTGGAAATTGTGGCCTCTCTATACACGCACATCAACCTGGCATTAAGCACAGTCGTTGGTGGGCACATCAAGTTGACTGATAACATCGAGCCTTAGTCGGGTACGCTATTACCAGATGCCACATATCACAAAAAACAATTTTCCCGTTCTTTATTTGAACTGCCATGCAAACGGCTGCTCCTGTCGTATCTGGTCTTCCTCTTCTTCTTTATCTTCACGGGTATTTGAGTAGCTCGAACGGCCAATTCAACTCGGAGGCCTCGAAACAGTGCAAGGTGTGGGGGCCTTCAACATTTGGTAATCCCGTGGTAATCTCTCTACAACAACCGTTTCTGCATTTCGATCTTAATCGTGAACAGTTTTGTCGATAGCTGTGGAAGAAGATTATTTGATCTGCACATATAACCAGTTGGGCAATGTGCTTCGCATTCTGTGGCATCGAAATGCAACAGAAAATTGTTCAGCTTGTCGCCACCTAAATGTGTTTGGTTTACACTGAAACAGGTCGGAAAATGTGTGTTTTCTCAAATCTGGTGCAACCAACATTACGTTTTCCCAAACCTTGTCAACTTCGATGGCCACCTCTTCAACTTGAGCTCATCCGTCCACACACTTTTGATAATCACGCAAGGAAATTAATATGAACGGCAACTCAAATCACGTTGGCATTGTTCTTTGTCCATCGCCTCACCAGCGTTAGGAAATTACCTACAAAGTGTCACGATAATGAGGACGATTTTGCCACGATTAGTCGTCTCCAGCTTCTAATTAATTATATGACACCAATAGAACCCTCGTGTCGGATACATTTTTATGAATTTCTACGTGCTTGAGACAAAGTCATGCATAGTAGGGAATGTGTGCGCTCAGACAGATGGAGGTGCTTGAAGAAACACTACAATCACGAGGTGATTCGTGGCAATTCTACGCTCTATTTTCCGGCATGGATAACGATTCCTAAATCTGGTTCTCACGGTTGGCCCATGCCAAAAACTACTTCTTTCCAGCATTTGATTGCCAGTCGTTGGAAATTGCTGGAAATTAATATTCAAATAAGAACCTCCCTTGTTCCTCCCCACCAGACCGTTGACTTTTAGCTCGTAGAATACAAAACGTGTTCAAGAGCGGGGCAGAAGTTGTAGGAGCCCCGGTGGGATTTGAGAAACACACCGGGGGCTACGATGTAATTTGCCACGGACCGATTTGCTACGGTAATGGCGTGGCTATGCATTGTTATAAGCCGTCGGTCAATGAAAGAACTTAGTTACGTGAAAGATATTCGTGTAAGTCGGCTGAATTCGTGTTTGCTTACGTTTGCTAACAACGAACGCCACAAACGAATGTGCAAACGAACCACGACACAACTACTTAAACTCTCGAAATGATTCAGTTATCATTTAGGCTGACTAGGTAGTTTCGATATTTGCGATGCCTCATTTGTCATGTTCTCGGCCAATGATCCCTTAGTTGACGTTCTTACGTTTCCAACAGTAGTCAGTAGCTCAATTGTGTCCTTTCGCGAAAATGGAGGAAGCTCGTCCTGTAACCCTATTCCCCGTAAAGGCGACCGTAGTAACGAGGCATTCAAGGCAAATCCGCAGTACCATGACGCCGCGCAGAAAATGTGCCTTCATTGCACTCTTGCTGGACATTTAGCACCACACCTACAGGAACCTAATCACCTCTTCGTCGGAATACGCAAACACACAGCCACCTACCAACACACTCAAACGCGCAATGTGGTTCTCCAAAACAAGCCACAGATAGGTTGCCTGGTGTGGGTCTCCGAAGAGGCGGTTGCAAGTTTCGGCTTTCCAATAGTGATCAAGTCTAATTGAAGTAGTGTTTTTGGACAGGAAATACGGATCTGGCCTTCTAAACTGCACACTTATTGACATCTTTCAAATTTCATGAACATTGAACAATATGCAGTAGTGTTCTGTGGCACGTTGAAATGACTTTATAGCTTGCCTGAGGACCAGCAACTTACCATTGAAACACCCTTGAGCGGTATTCTGCTTGCACAAATCGATGACGTTGTTTCTTTGACTAGTTTCTGTGATCACGTCTCAGAACCTAGAGGATGTTGGTGAAGCAGTTCCTCACAGTTCACAACGCCTTCTCATTGCTGCTGGTTCTCACCAAATGTAGGGAGGTAGTGAAAAGTCGTCTGTTAAACCTGCCTGCACCTTTCGAGCTATGCATATCGAATTTTCACATCTGATTTCAACCCTTATGTACCGTTGGTTGCAGGGTGATACGGGTAGCGGAATGATTATCTGCAGTGGAACGTCCCCTCACCCTCAAAAACGTTGCAAGAGCATTCGCTGATAAGCGTAGTCTGAAACGGTTCTACATTGGGATGCCACAAAGGCAATGATACATGAGGTGTGGGAGAGATGCAGCCGTTTATCAAAAGACTCAGTCAAGTTGTGTCGATCCACTTTGTGTTAACCGTCATTCGAACTGCCGATTAACATAGATTGTTTTAACCAGTAAGCGCACGATTTACCCAATGGCCTGACGAGTGGTACACGTAGCAGAGGGGAGCAAACTCAGAGGTGAATTAACAGAGTGTTCCAAATGAGCGTTGGCGGTACACGGGAAGGTGACAGTGAGTCATACACCAATCGAGATAACTAGCATGAGTAATCACAATTCACTACGAGTCGCGTGATTGGCAAATTAACACTCGGCTCCGAAATCGCCCAACTTTTCCTCAGATTTGTTGATTAGAGGTCACAAGAAGTAATTCAAAAGGCACTTGTCGAATGGCTTCGACATCTACCCAATCCTTCGTGGTCACTTCACCAGCATTGTGCATGCTAATTCTAACTGGATGTGATGATGTGTCTGTGCATTCGTAGTGCAGACATGTGTTTACAAATGGCGTGGTGGTGAAATGTGAACAGAGTCAATTGGGTGAAGGTGTACGAAACCACCAATGCCAACGTACTCCTGATTAGAATCAGCCTATTTAAGGAGGCGAGAGTGGACAAAGATATCCAAGCAACATGCGGACTGCGTTGTGGTCGATACTGGTGCTGCTATGCTTCTTCACAGGCGAAATTTCGGGATGTGCTCGACGCGCTCCTACTTCTATCGACGACAGCAACACAATTCACACCTTCTTGCCCAAATATTTGTTTATCGACATACCAAATAGACTCATCGTTCACTCCTCAAAGCCCTTGACCAAAATCACTGTGAACATGATCGCTTTTGAACAGTCTTCCGATGATATCGGTTTAACTGTATTCAACAACCTCGAACCCACTACCATCATCAATTCCCTCCGTGGTCACATCAAGTACGTCTACAACCTGAAATACTTAGTGCCCATTGAAATGGAGCCTGGCAGCCCTTTTAATCTTCTTTTAAATTACTTTTACTGTCCCGAAGGTGGATGTCGTGAAACGGAAGACGAGACAAAGATTACAATGGTTAAAACTGTTCAGTTCATGAAGCATTTCACCATCATTATGGGCGAGACAGACAAACCGATGTATCGACCTGGAGATAAAATAAGATTCCGCTTTGTCGCTCTCAGTAGTCGGCAGATAGTGCCGTATTCTGGCTCCTTGACATGGCCCGAATATCGTGCTGTAGGTTCCTCATGGAATGACAAATACCTCGAGGAAATCGGAGAGCATGAACGCGACAGGCGAATGAAACCACCATA